GTAAGCGCACCTTGGGGTGCTACATACAGATGATTAGAAATGGGCTAAATTAATATGTGAGAATTAGCCTAGAAGAGAATGGGCCAAGCGGTGTTTAAATGAATACAGTTTGTGTGTTGTTATTTCGGGCATAAGCTAGCTGGGCAGGCGGCTGGGGTGTTGGGGACGCAGCCCCGCCGCTCCTATTATTACACTTATAGTTTTGCTAAATTCCTGAAGTCCACTACATTAAATAATGTGTCCAATAATACCTAAGCCACAACCTCCAGAACCTACAGATAGACAGGCCATGTGTACATTAAGACAGGGAGATTAAGACTGGAGGTGTGCTCAGTCTAAACACATGAACTATAAAAACATAGACACTACTGTGGTTCCAGAAGAAGCACTGAGAAGAAAGAAGACAGGAAAGAAGAGTCAGAAGAGGAAGAGCAGCATTCCAGAATGAGAAGCATCTGAAATACTCTACTGGTTCTGAGGAGAGCAAGGCATGTTCAAAGAAAAAGGAAAATGCTGAGTGCCAAGTACAGTCTGGGCAGACAATAATTAACAGGTTCATGAGTCCCATATGATAAGAGTTGAACTTTTTTTTTTAGCCTCAGATAATCTGAAAGTAGAACTCAGTCCAGTCTGAGTGTGTAAGACTTGAAGCCTGCAGAAATGAGGGAATTAATAAACAGAGTACTAGATTTCTGCAAATTTGATGTGGCCACAACACAAAACTAAGAAAATGAAAGACACAACAAAAGAAACACATGACCATCAGTTAAGAATTTCCACAAACAGTAAAAGTTACTAAAAGTGTGTACCCAAGAGATATAAAACATCATGTATAATATTAATAGTAAATAACCCAAATTTGTCATAATAAACTATTACAATGCAGAAAATAAGAAATTTGAGGAAAGCAGAGATTAAAGGCTTACTTCACAGAACAAAAAATAACACTCTCTACATAAATACTATGAAAGCCTGAAGACTTGGAAAAAATATATTTCAAATCCATTTCCAAAACATAGAGGCCAACAATTCTGTATAAGTCAGAAAGTCATGAAGAAATCAAAGGAAAACTAGGGGCTTTTCACAAAAACAAATGTTGGGAAAATATTTGAAATAGCTTGAACTGTTAGAGAAAGTCCTTTCAATAAAGAGAATGATTCCTGACAAAACCCAAGATTTATGTAAATTAAGAGTATGAGAAATAATAAATACTAGCAAAATGACTGTCTTAGACAAAGCAATAGTATTATATTGCTCCTTTTGATTTATCTATCTATTTTAATTTCATTTTATTTGTAAGCTGCAGATTGAACACCATAGCAGAATGCAGACTTTAAGCATTACACCTTCTACCCAAAATCAAGCTCCATCAAATGACTACAAGGGAGATGTATGATGATCAAGGGTTGCAAGAACAGTCTGCTGTGAACCATTATAAGCAAATAATACTACAACTGTGTTTAAAACTCCAATATTAAAACCTTAAATAAACCTAAAACTGAAGGAAACAATAAATCAACAATGGAGAGAAACTGGGAGAAAGGAAAACTCCATTAACCCAACACAAAAACTAGAGGGAAGACAAAGAGAAATCCTAACACTGAACACCATCAAAGACATAAAAGGTATTTTTAAAGATACACCAAAAAGTTCAAGAATGTTACAATAAAACTTCAGGATCTCAGTGCACGACAGACAGCACTGACGAATAGGAATTAATAGATATAATGCTCCACAAGTCTAAAGGATCAATTAAGCCATAATGAAAAATCACCAATTGTTTGTTTTAAGAAACATATAAAACAAAATTTAAACCACTGTACCTAAGAGCAAATCTCAAAGCTTACCCAGCTGTTTTAAAACTACATCAAATAGATCAGGTACTTCGCCATCAATGGGGAAATACAGGACTTTTAGGGGGGAAAGTAAGAATATAAGACGTTGGTGGTTGACAAAGATGATTTAGTTATTACAGAAGTTATAATCGAAATGCTATTTGAGACACTGAAATTCACAGAAAATAGAAAGTTCTAGCTCTTAACAGGAGAGAGAGCACGAGCAAGGTACTCAGGACCGCGAGAGGTGCACCCACACACTGAGACAATGGGGATGTTCTATTGGGAACTCACCAAGGCCAGCTGGCCTGGGTCTGAAAAAGCATGGAATAAAACCGGACTAGCTGAACATAGCGGACAGTGAGGACTACTGAGAACTCAAGAACAATGGCAGTGGGTTTTTGATCCTACTGCACGTACTGGCTTTGTGGGAGCCTAGGCTGTTTGGATGCTCACCTTACTAGACCTGGATGGAGGTGGGTGGTCCTTGGACTTCCCACAGAGCAGGGAACCCTGATTGCTCTTAGGCTGACGAGGGAGGGGGAGTTGATTGGGGGAGGGGAAGGGAAATGGGAGGCGGTGGCGGGGAGGAGGCAGAAATCTTTAATAATTAATTAATTAATTAATTAATTAAAAAAACAGTCTATAGAATAAGACAATGGAATACATGTGGCTGACAACGGGCACCTATGAAGAGTATACTACTAACGCCTACATATTTTAAGAAAAAAATCCATTTTAAGACACAGGAAGAGTTCAATGACCCATAAACACAGGCAAAAACACTCAGCAGCAATAAAAACGGATATAATTATCTCACCATGATAAAATGTGACAATACCTAGTACTGACAAGTGAAAAGCATGGGATGTTTCATCATCGCTCCAGAAAGTGCAATGACAGCCACTCTACAAAATCGCTCAGCATTTTCTCATAATTTTAAGTACTTACTTATTATCCTACCAGCAATTTTATTCTTAGTTATTCTTACTCAAAAATAAAAATAAAAAGAAACGTATTGGCAAGCCCAAGACTTAGGATTTTCTAAAACATTATTTGTAATATGCCAAAGCAGGAAAAACTCCAGTGTCTATCATTGAGAAAACACATAAACTCATAAGTCACAAAGTGGAATGATACTTGGATAATAAATAGGACTAGAACAGTCATGAACAAAGATAAATGAATCAACAAACTAATAAGCCATGAGAAAGAAGAAAGTAAAAAACCAGTACACATCATATGATCCCATCCTTTAAAACCTTTGAATGTAAAATCTAAAATAAAAAGCTGAGAAGCACCTAAGCCTTTCCTACTTGTACGGATGGGTAAATTACATATATGACCGTGGAAATTTCTGAGGTGACAAATATATTTTTTCATTCTAATATGCAATGTGGTTTCACTAGGTTATAAACTAGTAAATCTCATTAATATGTAAACTCTTATCATTTTTATTGAGCTTCAGCAATGAAAACAAATGATCTCAATAAAGTTGAAATGAAAAATTAACTTGATAAAAGTATAGACACAAAATATTAAGATCCTTAAAAGTGAATAAAATCAGAAACATATTAAGACTGATACAAAGCAAAATAAGAAGCACTAGTAAGAACCATTTGTTTAAGAAAAACTAAAATTCTGAAAGGAATATTTGATGTTCACAGTTTGGAAATGAAAACATGGAAAGAGAACTAAAGGTCCAGCACACTGTGGAAACAGTTTCTGAAGACTCCATTCTATAAAAAAATTCACACTTGTTTGTAACAATTGGTGTTTTAACCCTGATTCTAATGTTTTAAAAAAAAATATGAAGCATGGAGAATTTTTGACTTTTTGTACAAGAGTTTGGGCAAAGCCCAAAGACCTCCCTCAAGGCCCTTACTGTCATTATTAAACCTGAAGCTAATTTTGTCAGCTTAGTAGAAGAAGGTGAACAGTTACAGCAGAACTGAGTGTGAAACTCAATTCAAGAATATAAGGTCACAATTTGTGACAGAAGTGAAAGATCATTGTATAAAGAAGTCTTCAGATGAGAGTCAGCCATATTCCTATCCCTGTTTCTTGTTATGCGTTTATCAAAAAGCCATTCCAGCTGGTTATGCAACTCAACAGAGTGAGGAAATGTAAGCAAATACTTACACAACACAAAAGGCAACCACAGGCAAAAACAAAATACCTTGAATATGAATATATATATATATCTGCTATTGGTCCAAACAGGCCATATTGATAATGAAAAGAAAAAACCCAGCAAAATGGCCAAGGTAAGAGTGAACTGGGATTCTCTTTTCAGCTTTTGAGTCAGCAAACTCTGACAAATGCACAGAAAATCACTTGGCACAGTCTAGTCACAGTAGACAGAAAAGGTAGGTGGCAAGTCCACTCTAAATCTTTCATTTGCCTAAAAGATATACACAGTAGCACAGCAAATACTCAGAGAATAATAAATACCCATATTGTCATTTACATGATAGCATTATTTGAAATAGATAAAAACTGGAAAACTATAAATGTTTATAAACTTCATAATGTGGGGCATTACATTCTGAGTCATTAATCACCACAATGAACTAAAAGCACTGGCTATTTGAGGTTCAATGATACATATCACATAAAATTACACAGACTTATTTTCTTCTTTTGATTTTTCGACAGGGCTTTTCTGTGTAATAATCCTGGCTGTCCTGGTACTTCCTTTGTAGACCAGGCTGCCTCAAACTTAGTGAGATCCGCCTATCTCTGCCTCCCAAGTGCTGCGATTAAATGCACTGCCAAGCTGTTTTATTATTATTTTTTTCTTTTCAGACTTATTTTCAAAGTTAATGGTTTAAACTGTTATCACTCAGAGATGATCAATTTCTAACATAGTATCTTTCCACATTTGAACTATTATTGGAAATGACAGTATGTGCTACACTACAAATAATTAAAAGTTCTGTAAGCAGTTTTAATCAAGTCACCTCAATCTGCATTTGAAAATAAAATGCTGACTTTTAGCAATTTCTCCAAGACCCATGGTTAGGCAGTTACAAATATCTTAAGAGTATGTAGCTAACTGACATTCCCAAGGATGTTTACTTTAGGTGTTCCCACCACTGAGTATTTCACTGTGTCTTAAAAGGGAGAATAAAACTGGTAAACAAAGTAAATCTCTATGCATACCTCATATTCTCAGCTGAATCCTCTGGCATTGGGGCTACAGTCTGTACAGCTGGAAGATTTTTGCTGGTAGCACCATTCACAAAACTAGAAGAGGAGGAAGAGGAGGAGGACCCTGAATCCACAGCACCTGTTCCCAAAATAATAATTTTAGTTTTAAATATAAATTCATATAACAAAATAAATTCATTATTTTATTTCTATTTGATTTTCAAACAATAACTCATTAGAATAGCTAACAAGAATTCAACAATTAAAAATTATTTGGTCATTAGTATACTAATAAATTCCATGATTTTAAATAATAGATAATACATTAAAATCCAGTTAACTTATGTTAATCTAAGAAAATTACATGTTACAAATGGATATAAATAAAAAACATCAACATGAAAAAGTCTAGATTAAATGAGTTTGATAAAACAATGCAAATTTAAATGTGAAAATTTTATCCCCTTTTTATTACTATGTTGCAATATTCTTAAACCTAATGATCTAAGGCATAATTTTCAAAGCACTGAGAGCATAATTTTATCATTTTGCAGCATTAAATTCTGACTTTGATAAAATGATTGCTTTAGAAGCCCTATCATGAGTAAAACAGTACCTGATATTAAAATAATTGGTTCTCCGTAATGATACAAAGATGCCATTTTAAAGACTTTTTTGTAATATGTCATGTGAGTACATTAAAGGAGTTGAGGGACATCTAGTGTTTCTAAATATTTTATATCTTATTCTAACTCCAACAAAATGAGTTGCTCACTGAATTTCCACTATAATGACTGTATAGTGCCATGGGCTAATATCTAAACTGTACACTGTGCTCAGCATAAATGTTAGCTCATATTTATAGCTCTCTATATATGACCAAGTATTAAGGAGGAAGGTTATTGCTTAGTTTTAATTTTTACTGTAATATATATTTATACTATCAAAACCTTATACTGCTATATATCAATCAGTAATTTTTAAAACAAAAATTACAAGAAAGCATAACTTGGCTTATTCAAAGACAAAAAGGTGATTTAAGCTTTTCGTTTCACTGCAGTCGTAAGAAAAAAAGGACTTTATTTACTAGACATCACTAAGGACAGATTCTATCACACTGTTAAATTTTTAAAACTGAAAAAATAAACTTACAAAATTTAAAATGCTATTAATGCTGCTCAATGATCAAGATAAGTATATATGTCTAAGAGAGTGTTCTACTTACTAAACCCCATAAATGTGTGGCTCATGATATGTCAGACTCAGGTGACATGATAAACAAGATAGATACAGAAAGCACAAAAAGGAGCTACAAAATCAATAGAAATGGGAAGAATCTAAGTAATGATAATAAATGGAAAAGTTCAAGGCTATACAGTTTGGAGAACAGAAGACTACTATAGTCAGGGAAGGAAAGTCAGGGATCATCTTGCGTTGTATAAATACCTAAAACGGAATCACAAAGATTTGGGTAAGGATTTATTTATCTAATAATCAATAGGAACATTTCTGGAAATTTGAAAGACAGAGAGAGAGAGACAGAGACAGAGACAGAGAGAGGAGAGAAACAGAGAGAAGAAAAACAGAGACAGAGGAGAGAGACTGATTTTAGTCATATTTTTAAATTGGCACTTTCGATTTCTAGAACCATAGGAAATAGCTGGACAACGAATTGGACACAGGCATAACCTAAGAACATAATTATTCAGTGTGAGGCAGTGGTCCTTCTTCACACGCTCTGTTTACAAAGCGGAGGCTCTTGCAAATCATCAAGGTTCTCAGAGAACTCTACTTTTCCTTGAAGGGTTCAATCCAAAAAACCCATTTTCTAGCACTAATATGTGTGAGCACCTTCACATGCTTTATAAGTTTGTTTTCACCTGTCACTCTCCAGTATCTAAAACGGCTTTTGCTCCCCAAATGTATTCCAATAATCTGATTGTACCCTGAATGTGGACTATGATGTTCTGAGACAACTCAGAACAAAAGATCAGTACTGTCTCCTGAAACGGCCACTGTGTCTGTGTCCTAGCGCCAGCAGCAAGTTCTGAGAAGTTGTCCCACAGAGTGCAGCACACTCGAGACTAAGCTAACCCTAAGTATGTTCTGGGCATTTTAGTTGTTAAGATCACATGGGAAAATGAAGATACGGCAAACGGAGAAAAAAGGATGAAGCTTCACAAAAGTCTATAAGGACGATACCTGTCGTGTTAATCATACTTTTTGGTGTAGCTCCAGGGGCAGCAAATATACTTGAGGTACTGCCTGTTGGCAGCCCACTTCCTGCAGCAGTGGCTCCCACAGTAGTGACAGCTAGACTCCCTGGAGGTGGCTTCTTTACAGGCACCACCACACTCCTGCAGAGAAAAACAGAAAACAAACCCAAAGCATGAGGTAAAGCCTCTTCATAGGACGCAGAGCAGATACCCAAAGCCAACAATGGAGTTCAGCTGAGCTTCCTCCCCCTCTTCCTTTCCTCTCCTTTCCTGACCCTCCACACTGTAAGCCTGCAAACCCAATATTACTGGTGAAAGGAATACAAGACTTAAGCAAACACTGGGAAGCTTATGACAAACACTTATTTAGCAAACACTAGTGTAGAATCTGGAGTTTTTAAATCTTTCTTAAAGTGACAAATTAATCAAAAATTAGAAACAAGTGCTCAGGTTAACACATTTTGCATATGCTTACCAAATAATCTCATGATAAAATGTTCACTTTCTTCTTATTATAGCATCATACATGTAAAATGCCCATAAAATTGGGCTGCCAAAAGTTTACTGGGCTAAAGAGCTTGCCTCACCCACCTGAGAAACCTAACCCCTGAACCCAAGTAAAGAAGCCAGATGTGGTAGCAAGCACCTGTAATTCCAGCACTTCTGAGGTAAGACAGGAGGTGAAGACAGGAGAATCACCCAGAAGCTCAGTGCCCAGTCTGCCTGCATATGCTGTGCAGTCCAGCAGAAACAAGACCCTCTCCTTCCATCAAGTGGAAGGAGAGAACTTATTCCCCAAAGTCCTCAGATTTCCAGGTGGCATGCATACACAAGCACACCACTCTCTAAAAATTTTCATAAAATTATATATAAAAACCACCAAAGTAATATTTGATAGTCAAACTTGAAAATATGATGCTGAAAAATGAAATGTGGAATAGCAAAACACCACAAGGGAATAAAGAACTTGTATTTTAGATTTCTTATTAAAATTGCTTTCTATAACACAAGAAAATTCAGATTATGGCACACATATATAGTTAAAATGTAACTTAACTTTCACGCCATAACTTTTGTAACATAGAAATTCATTATGTTCTCATATTTATTCAACACTTTTAAGTGAATTTCATTTAAATTTTTTTCTTTTTTATTATTTTATTACTTGAAAAACAATCAATCCAAATTCTCACTCCATCCCCTCCTTCCACTCCCTCCCCACACCCTCCCACCCTTCCCCTCTCCAATCCTAAGAGAGGACAATACACCCCGCTCTGTGGCAAGTCCAAGGCCCTCCCTACTACATCTAGGTTGAGCAAGGTATACACCCAAAGAAAATAGGATCCCCAAAAGCCAGTACATGCAGTAGAGAAAAATCCCAGTGCCACTGTGAGTGGCCCCTCAGTCTGCCCCAACTGTCAATCACATTCAGAGGGACTAGTTTGATCCCATGTTCGTTCACTCCCAGTCCAGTTGGAGTTGGTGAGCTCCCATTAGCTCAGACAAACTGTCTCATGGTCTTGACCTCCTTGCTCATATTCTCACTCCTTCCACTCTTCAACTGGAACCTTGGGAGCTCAGTCCAGTGCTCCAATGTGGGTCTCTGCCTCTGATTCAATCTGTTGTTGGATGAAGGTTCTATGGTGATATTTAAGATAATCATCAGTGTGACTATAGTGCAAGACCATTTCAGGCACCCTCTCCACTATTGCTTAGGGTCTCAGCTGGGGTCATCCTAGGGGATTCCTGGGAATTTTTCTAGGGCCAGGTTTCTTGCTAACTCCTCAATCAAGATATCTCTTTCCTTGCTCTCATATCTCTCCTTCCTCCATCTCAACTATCCCATTCCCTCAACTGTCTCTAGCTGAAATGATAAACACTTGTGGATATTGTTTCATGTTAAAATATGAATTTCTAAAATATAATCAGTATCTGTATTTTCTTATTATAAAGGCTTATATCTCAAAATTTATAGCACTTCAAACTTTTTAAAATTTTTTAAAGTTTTCCAAACTTTCATAAATATCTCCCAAGCACTATTCAACTATGATTGATTTTACAGAAAAAGATCCATAAAATAATTTACGCTCAAACGCAAATGACGAAAAATAGTGACTGAGAGCATGAAAATCTTCAATGTACACTGTCATTTAATGGCTTTATATTTTATTATTAATATGCTCATTTATTATTATGTACTTATTTTTCTGAACTGCCTTTGTCAAGCTGTCATTTTTACACCCATAAAGGTAAAATCAGAAGCCATCAACATGACTTCCCTTTCAGTAGGGTAGTGGCAATACTTCCACAAAATGAAGATCTGTACTTGTAATCTGCTTTGAACTTTCAATGAATAAAGTCCACTCAGTAAAACTATATGCAGATCACATTCTCAAGCCCAAACTTCTTACCTTTCCTTAATAAAAACGCTTTTGTTATGTTCTTCAGTAACTATTTCAGTGTTGAAAATTTAAACTTGTGATTATTTTTCTTAATGAGCTCTTATAACTTGAGACTAAAGACGATATAATCTTCTGTAAAAAGATTTATGACATATACAGTGTTCTTCCTACATGTATGACTGCAGGCCTAGGGACATTTTCTTAATTAGTGATGGATGTAAGTGGGGCCACCTTTGGGCAAGTGGTCCTGGGCTCTATAAGAAGCTGACTAGTATGCAGCACCCTTCCATGGCCTCTGCATCAGCTCCTGCCTCTAGGTTCCTGCTTTGTTTTGAGTTTCTGTCTTGATTAGCTTTGATGATAAACTGTAGTGTGGAAACACAAGCTTAATAAGCCCTTTCCTCCTTCTTTTTTGGTTATGGTCTTTAATTGCAGCAACAGAAATTCTAAGACAAGTTGGTACGAGTGATGTGGGAAGTCCTTCTGTATATGTGTTGCTTTTATTGGTTAATGAAGAAGGAAGCCGCTTTGGCCTGTAATAGGGCAGAGTAGCACAAGGCAGAAAACCTAACTGAATGACGGGAGAAAGAAGGCGGAGTCAGTGACAGGTCATGTAGCCACCAGAGGAGACAGATGTGCCCCAGAACTTTATCAGTCAATCACAAACCTCATGGTAAAATATAAAGTAATGGAAATGGGCTAATTTAAGACACAAGAGCTAGCTGGCAATACACTTAAGCTATTGGCCAAGCAGTGTTTTAAATAATATAGTTTCTGAGTGGTTACTTTGGGTCTAGGCAACAGGGATGAATGAGCAACCTTTGCCAACAGATTGGCGCACCAACATGGGCTGAGATTATTCACATAAAACATGGGAGAGTTTTGGAAGGAATTCTAGACACAAAATAAACAGAGTTTAGCACAGCTTCATGGAGCCACAAATATTTTTTTTTGGAATGGGCTCACAATGAGCAGGGGTGCCACAACTTCTTTGAGAGAGGTACAGTAAAACTTCGCCTCTTCTTTAAAAATGGCAGATTCCTGATTCGCCAGCACAAATGGCTATGATTCTTTCTGGAAGTCCTGCTATGGAGCATTTGAATAGAGTTTTTGAGCAGAGTGATACAACTTGCTTAATGGCAACACAGATCTGTTGTGTGCCTGAAAATGGGGCGATGTGCATGGCTCTCAGAGGCCATGAACATACCTCTGTCATGTTGGACTGAGCGGAACCAACAGGCAGGACCGCAGAGTTGGTCCTAGCCATGCCCACCTAGCATTTTTTTAAAAAGCTGTTTCTGATCAAAAAATAATACAGATACGCATGCAATAAAGACAAATCCAGATGAAAAAGACTTCTAAATGGGTTACAGTGTTTGATAAATGTACATTGGCTTGGGAAAGAGAAGAAATAGATATAAAAAGAAGTAAATGATTTTTTTTTAAAAAGGTAAAGCCTTTAAAGAGAAACAGTACAGAAAGTCGTAGATTAAATAGATTAAACGAGTAAAGAAAACTAAGCCACATAAAGATGGAAAATACACAGTCTAGATTATGCATATTATTGTATCTTCTTTGAATATTTTGACTGTGAATGAGCTAAGTACAGAAAAACATTTCATTGTACATGTTGCTTTTATTGGTTAATGAGTAAAGAATCTGCTTTGCCCTGTGATCGGGCAGAGTATATTTAGGTAGGAAACCTAAACAAAATACTGGGAGAAAGAAGGCATAGTAGGTGAGATGTCATGTACCCATTGGAGGAAACAGACGTGACCTGGAACTTAACAAGTAAACCACGACCCTCGTGGTAAAATATGAAATAATGAAAATGGGTTCATTTAAGTATAAGAGCTAGCTAGCAATATACTTAAGCTATTGGCCAAGAAGTATTTCAAATGATACAGTTTCCATGTGATTACTTTGGATCTGAGCAGCCAGGAACAAATGAACAGCCCCCGACTACATACCAGGAGTGGGGTATTGTTACAGGCCTGACAATGCTATTGGCAGGTGGAAGTTGCTGTTATCATGATGTATCTTCACAGCAACAGAACAGAACAAAGACAGAAGCTGGTACAGGGATTGTAGGACATTAATGTGACAGACCTAATGGTGTTGTTTTGGGGAAGACTGTGGAAAGACATAGGAACTTTGGCTAGAAAAGTTGCTGAATGTTGAGAGCTCAGTGTTCTGTAAACGTGGAAGATAAGAATAGTGAGAACAATGCAAATGATGGAGACCTGGTTTGGGAAGTTTCAGGAGGAAATTAAAAGACTCTACTGGAGCCATTTGTTATTTTGAATGAAAGGGAAAAAATTTGCCAGTTATACATCAGTCAGAGAATTATTAATAGAATTCACAAAGAAAAACTTTTAGGAAAACCAACCAATCAAAAAATGGTCTACAGATAAAAATCAAGGAATTCTCAAATGAATTACAAATGATGAAAAAAGAGCTTTAAAAAGTGTTCAACATCTTTAGCCATCACTGGAATGCAGAAAAAAACCTACCTTGAGAGTTATCTCACCCTAGTCAGAATGCCTATTATGAAGAAATCAAATGTCAACAAATGCTGGTGAGCGTGTAAAGGTAAAGAAACCCTTATTCCTTGTCAGTAGGACTGCAGAGTGTTATACTGACTATGGAAATCAGTGTGAAGATTCCTCGATAAGACAGAACTGTCATGTTCCAGCTATCCCATTCCTGGGATTATATGCCCAAGACTCAATGTTCTCCTATAGAGATATTTACTCATCAGTGCTTTCACTCTTTACAAAAGATAAGGAATGGAATCAGGCTATATGTCCACAAACTGATGGATAATGAAAATATGGTTCATAAATACAAGGTTAAATTTACAAGGTTTTATTCAGGTTAAAAAGAAATGAAATTCACAGGTAAATGGATAGAACTCGAAAATGAGTGAAGTAACTGAAGCTCCCCCCCCCCAAGTAAAACAAAACAAAGTAAAATCACATGCTAATATTTGCCCTTCATTTGTGTACAAAAGCTTCAAAGCATTTCTAAACTAATACAGGCTCTGTCCATTCTTCTTGAGTATTCATAAGAACTAAATGAGACAGAGTATGTCACATACACTGACTAAATGATAGACTGAAAAGCTGCAACTGAGTTGGAATCTTCCTCTTCACTGGTTACCTTCACCAGGATTGGTAGGTGCAATCCAAACTGCAGCAAGAAAAGGTATCAATGGCCTTACCTATTTACCTGTGAACACGCCAAACCATGAAGATGAAACCAGCCAGACAAGATGTGCTCACTAGTGCAAGAGCGGCACTAATGTTATAAGGTAAACAACTTCCCTTTGAGTAAATGTGATTCCCTCTCTAAGGGGATCCATAACCGGTACTGTAAAACCTAGTCAAAACCCCACAGAAAATAATAGGCCCTGGAGGAAAATAGAATTCTCTTGTTTAGCTAAGTTAAAACAATATCGAAGTGGCTTTTAAATATTTAGTTTGTATGCAGACAAATAACCCTCTCAGCTTTAATCAGAGAAGTCTCTTTCCAGTGACTGACAGTAAATTCATGGATGGATAGGGTGCTGAGAATAAATAACAGATTAGTGCTAAGACCTAAACAAGACATATATACCATCCTCTACAGGGCTCAGGGAAAACTGTGGAAGAGGGGGCATAAAAACATGGAAGCTGAAGACAAGAAGGGTTGTGACATAGCCATTGCAATTGCAAACTCTTAGCAATATGATTACCGCACTATTCTGCATAAAAATGGGCCCACGAACAGCAGACACAGGAGGAGCATGCATTAGTGGCCTACTCTTCACTGCTGAAGTATTTCCCATGGGCAGATTCAAGTAGCAGGAACATTACAGCTTGACTAGAACTATCAACAAATCATGGTTTCTCAGTGAAACTTCCAAGAGAGAAGGTGTTGGTGGTGAATCCTGCCACTTACACTGTTGCTTTCTAAATGACAACACTATGCTTTACTTTTAAAAAGAAAACCACCAAAGATGTTTGCACCCAATGATAAAAGTCTGGTGCAATCTCTACACACTGTGCTATACTGCAGTGTGGTTTGGGGGATTCCAAATATTTTTATATGCATACATATACCATTTGGTAACCCAGGGTAATCCAAGACACATCTTATAATCTTCACACACCATGAAGAAATAAATGAAACCAGTTATTGTACATGTAGATAAAAACACATATATAAAGAATACCATATAAAATTTGAAAAAAAATACCAAATTCTAAATTATTTTGTTTAATCAGACCTAAGCATTTGTGGAATTTGATGTTGCTATTTGGCGCTAACGTGGTTGACTAAATCCACTTAAAACCTGAAAGAACTTGAATAAAAAATACAGAGTTTAACACAGCTTCTTGATGTCTCCTGGTGGCATGCCACAGTTCCTTTAAGAGAAGTTTTCCTGATTCAGCAGTAGCAGGAAAAAAGCTGAGCGTTTTGAAATGCCAGCTTTCTGGGCCATGCTGCCAGCATCACCTCTGGCTCATTCAAAAGACCGAATATTTAAATGGGATTTGTAAGCAGCATGTGGCTCGACACAAACCTGCTGCATATTTAGAACTGGGGCAATATGCAGGACTTGCAGAGGTTGTGAATGGACTTCCACCATGTCAGCCTGTGTGGAACAAGCAGGAAGTACCGGATATACCCTAGCAATGGAGCAGTTTATATTCTTAAAAAGCACTTAGCATTTTAAGAAGCACTCCTGGACAGAAAATAATTAAAGATACACCATAAAGGCAAATTCAGATGAAAAAGACCTCTAAGCTCAGTGTGTTTAAAAAATGTACGTAGACTTAAGAGAGAGGAGAAAAAGAGTATAAAGAGTTATTAAAATTATAAGTAAATAGTTAAAAAAATAAAATAAAGCCTTTAAGGAGACAGAGTACAGACAGTCATAGATTAAAAGATGTAAAGGAAAATAAGCCACATAAAGATGGAATGTGCAAAGGGAGTCTGGATGATGAATATTATTGTGTTTTCTTTGATTTTTTTGACTGAAGGAGCTAAGTAATGAACATATGTATTTCAAGGGTATCTTGAATTCAAAATTTGAGTCTAAGGATATGCTGCTTTGGAGAAGAGGTTTTTCTTTTGTTTCCACAGAGGATGAGAACCTGTGAATTCTTCCAGGTTAATATGATTTGATGGACCAAGACCCACTGATAGGTCGCCTTGAACAACCCTCAAAAAATTACCTCACCCATTAAACAGCAGAAAGCAGTTCAGAGAGTACTATGCCCAAATTCCCAAATAATGTTTATAAATGTTTCTTTATATTTTAAAGGGTGATATGCTATACAGATTTGCACTGGTATGGATCTTGGTTTATTGATGCAAATTTAAGGTCAATCTTGTTATATGTGTATTTCTGCTCTTGATTAAGATATTGTGATTGTGTAGTTCACTTAAAAATGTAATGTATAATTAAGAAATATAGGTTAATAGATAATCATCTATAATAGTCAAGATTGTAGTCATGTTAGTTAGATTTTTCTAAATGTACAGAGATGTCTTTCAGATGGTTAGGTATTCTTCAAATCTTTCAGAGATCTTCCGAATATGGCATTTAAAATGTTTTAATAACTTAAAACTTTTTATGACAGTGAGATACATCTGCTCCTGGCAGCACCAATAACTTCAAGAGAAAGATGGGCACTGGAGAAGCTTCGTATGAAGTTTGCTAACCATTTAGACTGCTTGATGAACTGGACATGCAGGACCCACACAGAAATGACTGTTGAACTTGCCTAAAGGTGAGACAATCCTTTAGGGTTCCTGCTTCATGAAAGAGTCTGCCAGAACTCCTGCAGGACACAGAAGAAAGTGACTGACAAACTGCCAATATAGGTGGAACTGTCTTTGAATTTCCAGTTACAAGGAAAAATCTGCCAGATACTATGGGCCTGTAGGCTGAAGATATATGCCCCAATGATACAGAAAAACTCTGGGTGACTGTCCAGGTAACAAGAAGTCTCTGTCAATTCTAGAGTTTTGGAAGTTGCTTATAATGCACTGCCTGTTAACTTAGGCAATATTGTATCCTTCTGGAGTCTTTAAAGGAGTTGAAGAGTAGATATAGCTTTCCTTAGTCGTGATAAAAAATAAAATAGATATATTGTAACTGTAATTCTTGCTTGATAACTGTATTTTTTTGTTATATGTAATTTTACTATTCTAAAGTTAAAACCTTCCTTTTTATTTAAACAGAAAAGGGGAAGTCATGTGGGATTCCCATCTGAATGGCATGATTACCATTAGTGAATCAAAAAACGGCTTTGGACCTATAGCAGGGAAGGATTTAGACAGGCAGGAAAAACTAAAGTGAAAGCTGGGAGGAAGAAGGAATAGTCAGGGAGAAGCCATGTAGCCCTACGGGAAATGGACAGAACCTTAGCTGGTAAGCCACAGCATTGTGGCAATACACAGATTAATGAAATGGGTTAAATTAATATGTAAGAGTTAGCCAATAAGAAGCTAGAGCTAATGGGCCAAGCAATGATTTAACTAATATAGTTTCTGTGTGATTATTTTGGTTCTGGGTAGCTGGGACAAACAAGTGGCCTCCTTCAACATTTTCATGAATTTTAAAGCACCAAAATTCTTCAGTTCTCCATCCTAAGTGGAAAGATGAGTGAAGAGTGTAGATGGTGACCAGAACACTAGTCTCTCCAGTTTTATTTTAGCAAGTCATTTTATAGTCTAGAGTAAGCATAAAAAGTAGATGACTGCAACGACTATAGCAGACCAATAAGCAACTGGGTAGCAAAAGAAATATCACAGATGATCTCAAGTATAATTTCATAGTGCTAGTTTGAGTTCAGATGATTGCTTTCCAGTTAATTACATAGTGCTAGTTTGAGTTCAGCAACTGAATTTATAGCTATTTCAACTAAAAGTAAGAGCAAATACTCTATGTAAAGAACAAGCCTTGTGGTGACTGTCTGACACTGGGGTTTTCTGGACTTTCACTCTAAAGCTGTCACCTTAGCCCCACCTCTCAAGGATTCAATCTGTTGTTAGAGACATGCCATAACTCGGATTTCAGACTTCAGTGTTTCAGTAATATGTTTATATACCTCATAATGTAATTACAGCTACCTTAAGATAGATAAGGTAAATCAGCAATATACTGGAAATAAAACTGAAAGTGCAGCAGCAGTCCAGGAGTTCTTGTGGGGGTGATGTCTCTGAAAAGCTGATCAAAGGTTCAGAGTTTGAAGTTAAAATTTTGATGTTGTCACTCTCGATCTATTGAATGGCTGACAGACAATCAAACCCGTCTGGCTGGCTGGCAGCTCATTTTGCTGGCAGGTGGCAAACAATTAGACACACCAATTTGTGCCTGCTGATGACATTAAAGCATGAAACTAAGTTGTATGCAGGGCCTAGTGATTTGTGTGAAAGCATTTCAAAAATAATACTCCTCGCCGTGGCAACTCATTTCAGACTGCCACCTCCCATTATGGCTTTGAGCAGTGAAGACGACAGACTTGAGTTACGTGCAGTGCAAGGCCGCTTCTGTTCAATCCGTCATCAGTGCCCCCTGAGACCTCAATCCCCTCCTTTCATCAATATCACCTCATCATTTACATTTGCTAGTACTTGAGCTACTGCATATATTAACTACACTGGAGACTCTTTCCCAAAAGAAGAAAAACATAAAAAACAAGCTTTGTGCTCCTCTATTTCATTCTACTTACACAAGTAAGAATAATGAGTCCACTCCTACTACATTTTACATAAATGTTACCAGGAACAAAGGAAAAGTACTATGGTTTCAAAACAGTATTTGAAAAGTTCAAATTATGTACAGCTAAGAACAGTGACCATTCAGTTGCCACTTGCAATTTTTAATGAAAAAATGAATAAAAATATAAATTAACAAATTTATTTAATTACACTGAAGCCTCTTCTGAAAAATCTCAGTAATTCCCTAGATTTATTAATTTCTATTTTGATAAAATTTAAAGATATAATATTAAATTGCACAACTTCAATTACCTTATTAATTTGTTATTTAGTATATAGACACTGATGTGTCTCATGTGCATATAGAAGGCATACATTAACACACACACTCATAGGCACAAATGCACTCATATCCTGTAAACAGAAATTGGATATGTGAAATAGAGATGTAGTGTGAAAGACCAGAAGGAGCAATCACTGTATGAATAAACATGAGAACACAGACTTAACAACTATTTGATAAAGACTTGTCAGAAAAACATTTTCTACATTTCATAATCTTACAATTTGCCACTTCTTAGGAACTTTTAACATGACACATCTTTTTATGATGGTTATTGGTGAAAACTACATTATCTAAAACTCAGTAATAAATTAATATTACCTATATTATTTTGCCTATATATTGATCTTGATGTTTTAGTTTCAGAAACATTGATTCCTAAACTAAATCTTTATCACTAAAGCCAAAAGCACTTGCTGATCAATCAACTCTTTCACACACAATTTTTGGTATGAAGATATGTTTTAAATATCACCAACAAACATTTAATCCATACAGTAAGCCAACACCTTTGGTTTAAATATCAACACATAAACATAACTGGAAGGACACAGTATAAAGTAAAAACCAGCACTCAGACACTCTTGATGATAATCAGTGAACACTTGCAGTATTTTTCTGATGCTGAACTTGATTTCAATTATAAGATATATTAAATACAAGAATTCTTCATATCTACAACATTTTATTTTGATTCTCTGAATTATTTAATTGTATATATAGTGGCATTAGAAAAAGGAATCAGTTACTTCTAAATTCCTTGAACGATTTTATATTTAAATGTAGATATATGGGCCAGGTTCGAAGTAGTTTAAAGTCAGAAAAGGCCTTTCAAGAATATTTATTTCCAAATATCTGGCAAAATAAACCTTTTATACTGATGGCAGAATTATTATAGAAAAACAATCACAAGCCTTTTGTAGTTTTCAATAAAGATCAACTTAAAGTTTAAAATTAAACGTGCCTACTTAAAGTGAGTTATTTCATCTTCAGTAATTATTACAATATTTTATAGTATAATAGAATTTGAAAGTCAGGAAAAGCAAACGAGAAAAACAAATTTCCCCAACATGCGGCAATTCTTCAGTGGCAGAGTAAACCCAATGCTAAGTTCACCATTTCTAGTGCAATGTGCTAATCGCCACATCATGCCTCATCCCAGGTTCAATCCTGTGCACTTATAGTTTGACGATATGTTTGTAATATGAACTGGCAATAGTAAGTAACAAGTTCTCGAGACCCTCCTACTGTTTCCCAAATTAATAGATTTTAATATTTCTTCTATGGATAGAGCATCATGGATAATAAGCTCGGTACATACCTGTCAAAAGAATGAAACTGCATAGGAAGAATGGCTTGCGCTTCTCTCTTCAGTGCTGGATCTGGGTATGGAATAGGCTCAGGGCCACATTCAGCAATCTCAACTGGGGCAGCCACAAGACTTTTTAGTATTTCCTTGACGTTAATGCCTTTGGTTTGACTAATGCTAGATATGGATGTTGCGGGCTTCAACATTTCACTGGGGTGTTCAGTTAAGCTCTCATGTGATTTCTTTACTTCAGATGACAAAGTGGATAAAAGCTCACTCATTGCATCAGGACCTGCAGCAGTCTCTAGATCTGCCCCATCCAAGATGCTAGCCACTTGCTCCTCTCCCATTCCGGAATCTGTGTGAGGAACTGAACTTTCAAGCTGAATATCTTCACCAGGGGTTGGTGTTTCCTTCTCCTTTACAGTGTCTGGAAATGTAGCAGGTGTTTCTGTAATGAAAGAAATTGGTCTAATCAAAAGGTTTCATGTGCAGGTAAGAAGCTAATCAAAGATCCATGGGTCTATCTGAACATGCACAGCACAAATCAGCTCATACGCAATATCCATATACACCTGTTGTTTTCTTTAGCACATATCAAAACAATCCCATTTCTTAAAAATAAACCTGTCCGACAGTCTAAAACACATGTCTTAAAGAGCATAACTCAACTAATTTCTTAAAGCAATCAAAAATGTCACATCAAATTCCCACTATCCATTCATTGCTAGCTCTCAAACTACATACAAGAAAAGAATCCTGCTATTTCCTTATAAATTATTATTGTCCTTAAAAAAGTCATTTTAATGCCTTTTTGACATTTCAATAAAGAAATGTTCAAAATATTTAAATTAGCTAAAAAATTATTATAAATTACATACATGATTGTGAAATTTTTAAAATGTGAAATATGTCAAGTGATTATTTCAGAGGGATACATTCTTTATATACCATAATCTACCACAAGAAATTAGTCTATATGTGCTCTGCTATCAATAATTTTAGAAACTTTTGCCTAATTGTTGTGAATCAATATTAATTTCCACTTGTAAAACAGATCAGACACATCTATTTATCTTCATCAACAGGAATTGTGCACGTTACTAATTAAAATGGTTGAAAAGAAAAATATCTTTAAAATGACAAATCTGGGTCAGTATGGTGATTGACACCAGTCTGATACCCGAAATTTGATTCCTGAAACTCACATAACAAAAGATAACCAACTCTAGCAACATGTCCTCTGACTTCTACACCTACAATGTGACATGCATTGGAGTGTGCCTGCAGATATAGACACAGAAAAAGACAAACACACACATACACAAGGTTTGGGGATATGAATAAATAGTTTTAAAAGGTTCAATTCCAATGACAAAAGTTAATATGATGAAGTATTTCACAGAATAATTCTAAAAAGCATTGGAAAATGTACTTGATCTTAATTTGTATATAAGCATGCATGCATGTAAAACAGTCTTTAACGTAAAATGTTTTTGGAGGGAATGAGGCAAAAGACAGGATTTCTCTGTTTAGCCCAGGCTGACTTGGAACTCTGTAGACCAGGCTGGCCTTGAACTCTGAGACCCAACATGCCCTGTCTCTTGAGTGCTGGGATTAAAGGCATATGTCACAGTCACCTAGCATAACTTAAAATCATTTTAGAGATGAAAACTAAGTCATTAAGAGATTTTATGTGATTTACATTATACTAATTTGCCAAAATCGTTGATGTTTGTTTCTATATTTTAAACGGTTGCATCAATAAGAAACTGAACAGAAATGGCAGTCCTGAAATCAGCATGCAGCTCAGGAAGCCTCATGGGACAAGCTATTGAAAACATAAAGGGATGTTGTTTCAGAGATACTGTCCTACACACAGATCAAAAGTGCTGCAAGTTTGTCCAAACATCAGGGTGAACAATCATGAAAAGGTTCCCAGTAATAAATTCAGATCTTGGGTTTGTGATTAAACAGTTGCCAGTCTCGTGAATGCAGAAGAATTCTATGATATGAACATGATTTCACTAACTTTCCAGATTAATTTCAGAATCATTTCACTATACTTTCAGAGGCAAAGAAACTTATGAAGTGTATGCATTAATTTACAAAAAGTTAACATGTTTTTATTTAAATTCTGCACTGTCCAATATTCATTTAAATAGGCAAAAATACACATATCCAATAATGTAATGTTATATTATAGTCATTCCTGTACTTATTAAAAATACACATATCCAATAATGTAATGTTATATTACAGTCATTCCTGTACTTATTAAAAATACACATATCCAATAATGTAATGTTATATTACAGTCATTCCTGTACTTATTAAAAATACACATATCCAATAATGTAATGTTATATTACAGTCATTCCTGTACTTATTAAAAATACACATATCCAATAATGTAATGTTATATTATAGTCATTCCTGTACTTATTAAAAATACACATATCCAATAATGTAATGTTATATTACAGTCATTCCTGTACTTATTAAAAATACACATATCCAATAATGTAATGTTATATTACAGTCATTCCTGTACTTATTAAAAATACACATATCCAATAATGTAATGTTATATTACAGTCATTCCTATACTTATTAAGTAGGTTTAGTTTTGCTTATTTGTCAGGTTTTCTCAAGAATTAAAAAAAAAATTACTCTTGAGAATGAGGGAATGAATATTCATTCCAACACTGAATAATCAAAATTAAAAATATATGAGATGTGTCTTGTACTGTTTAAAGACTAAAAATTAAAACAATTTTATTAGTTTTGAGAATGCAATCTCAATAATATCAGGGAAAGCACCAGGAAATAGGAGTTAAAATTATAGCTAAGATTTAACAAAAATAAAAACTTGTAAGAAAAAATTAAGACTAAAATTAAAATTATAGCAATAGGAATGAGGAAGACATAATATCATGATATTATATTGGAAATTATAAAAATTATATTGGAGATTATAAAAACAAAGAATAGTAATAAACCACTGATAATGCAAATAGGAAAGCAGTTCAGAAGATACAAATTCAGTTTAGTCACTGGAGTTTTCAGAATTTCTGGAACACTAATGCCTGGAAACTGAGAGAAGAATAGCAATAAATTGTGATGATCATAACACAGTGAGAATAGATTTTGGAAGCTGATACATAACCTAGGGATACAGAGTAAGGAGTGAAGGTGGCTGAGGCCATTTATCTTTAGCAAAATACCAAGAGAGCACTGAAAGTCTCTTGTACTTGTAAGCAGTTAAGACATTTCCATAATATAAGACGTGGAATGAAAATGAAATGAAGGAATTTTCACAATGACAACAAAACTCCGAAGTGAGTGACAGTTATTAACATGGATGAATTTTATATCACAGTATAACTATCAGAAAATGTCTGGATTATACTCTAGTCCTTGGCTAGATTTACAGATGTGATCCAAAGTTTTGGCTTTACACTAATAAGATATCCAACCATATTATAGTATGTCTCAAATTAAAAATACATATAAATTTTAAACTCTTAAAATTTGTATTAGACCAAAATGTATTTCCTTAGTAAACATACTATACAAGAAAACAGTATCTTCAATTTGTTGTCCATAAGTACCATACTCAAAGATTCTTTTCCAAAGTTATTTATAAATTAACTAGTTTGCATGCGTGGGGGGGAGGAGAGAGAGAGGAAGAGGGGGAGGGAGGGAGGGAGGGAGGGAGGGAGGAGGAGGAGGAGGAGGAGGAGGAGAGAGGATGAGAATGAATATATATGAAATATGCATAAGCTAAATTGGCCAGAGAAGGGTGTCAGATTCCTGGGAGCTGGGATTATAGACCTTTCTGGAAGGTCCTTGTGGTAGTTTGAATGTAACTGGATCCCATAAGCTAATTGGGAGTGGCACTATTAGAAAGTATGGCTTTTCTGGAGTAGGTGCGGCCTTGTTGGAGAAATTGTGGAGGTGAGCTTGGCGGTTTTATAAATGCTCAAGCTATGCCCAGGGTCTCAGTCTATTTCCTGTTGTCTGTGGGATCAAGATGTAGCTCTTTCTCCACTCTCAGCTCCTTCTCCACCACTGTGTCTGCCTACATGCCACCTGGTCCCGCCAAGATAATAATGGAATAAACCTCTGAAACTGTAAGCCATCCAATTAATGTTTTCTTTCATAAAGATTTACTATGGTCATAGTGTTTCTTCACAGCAACAGAAACCCTAACAAGATAGTCCTGGTGTGGGTTCTTGGATTTAAATATCTGTTCCTCACAAACTGTAACAAGTACTCAATTGTTCTAGTTCTATAGCTAAATGTCATTTTAATCTTACTATTTCTTTCTTATCCAGTCAGATGACACTTAAACAGCATTAAAAATCTCTAACTTAAAAGATACTTAGAACTCAAGTATGTTTCGACTTCCAAGTTATGATGAAAATCTATGAATTTTTAATTAAATAGCTCATCGAAATATATACACATTGATGAAAGTTTTAATTTTATTTACTGATTCTGAATGATTTTAAAGTGGAATAATAATTTTGAAATTTTAATAAAAATTCTACAAGTAATTTAAAGCACACCCTATGATCATGTTATATAGAAGTAAAAACAAATACTCAAAGAAAACACTGTAAGAGTAATTGAAAAATAATCAAAAACAATAAAAAAAAACCTGATTACTAGCCAAAATCCCCACTTAATTTCTCACTGCGCTCTTAACACCCCTCACAGAACATGTTCTCGGTTGACACTACAGTGCAGCTTCCATAATATGTCTGTGAGGGTTTAATACAATGACTTTAACAGAAAGGGCTGTCTATATAGTTATAGTAACAACAGTAACATGGAAGTTTTCAGTAGCTCTCATGAGAATTGGTAGCAAAGGCTACACAAAGCTGAAACAGTACTAGATGGAGTTAGCTGAGTCTTCTCAGAAACAGGCAATTAGATGCCAGATGTCTTTTAATGCTTTTCACTAAATGTAATGAATTCACCTACTATGTACTAAAAAAACAAAACAAAACAAAAAAACCAACAACAACAACTATGAGGTTAAATTCAACAAATGACATGAGATTTACAAGCTTACCTCATCACATTTCTTCCCTGAAAACTCCTGTTTCACAGTGATCTCAATACTTATGACATATTAAAGTGCTCAACTTGCTGTTTTCCAAACTCTCTACAAAGGACTAACTAAAACGTCAGACCAGCACTGAAAATTAAGTTAAGCATCTTCTTTAAATATCAAGCAACTAAAACACCTAAGTTAAAATGAATTATGAAAGTCTAAAACTTGTACATGAGTTCCATTAATTCCAAAAGTAAAAGAGTAACTTATATAAAAATTATTTTTAATTCCCAAAGTAAAAATAGTACATGAAAAAGATTTTTTAAAAAATCAATGTAAATGTTTGTTTTATATACACTCAACAAAGTGAAACTCCAAAGCAGAGT